TATTGTTTTATTAATTGGCATATTTGGGGTTCTTGAGAGCAACACTCTCTCTAATTAGTCCTTTTTTAGGGTAATGGACATCGAGTTATGACTATCGCGCCGCGTTATGACCAATACAAAGATGCCTGGGATACAAGTGTTGTGGTTGAGGCATGTTCTTGACTATGTAAGAAGTTATGTTTTCAGTTTTGTGTTGATAGAAGAAGTTTTCACCCAATTGTGATCTGCTTATTACAGCTGAAAGTAGGGGATAGAACTGAAAAGGTTCGCTACTTCCATAGCTATAAGAGGGGAGTTGATCGTGTCTTTGTGGATCACCCTTGGTTTCTTGCAAAGGTTAGAATATTTCTTAATTTTTCTGTCATACTGTGTTGCTTTCAGATACTTATTAGTGACTGAACTGCCAGGTCTGGGGGAAAACCGGAACCAAACTTTACGGACCAACTACAGGACATGATTACGAAGACAACCAACTACGGTTTAGCCTATTTTGCCAGGTTCTATATCGTATACTTTTGGTTGCAAGAATTCTGTTCATAGATTTTGCAGTTGCTATAATGTTTTCAGCAGAAAACTATAACTTCCAACCAGAAAATATACAAATAAAATTAGACATTATGTCATTTCCATGGTGGTGTGGCACATTTTAATTGATTATAAGAAATTCATGTAGTTGGGCACTGGAAATATTCTGTTTGCAACATGTTTATCATTAGTAATATGAAGTTCTGAGTGCAAGAAGGCTACTAGCAGAGTTGCATATGTTATATGATGGATAAAGTAGTAATATGTGCTCTTTATATTAACTATCTCCATCTAATGTTTACTCTTCCCTTTCATTATTTTTTTTTCTCTTTGAATTAATCTCCAGGCAGCTTTGGAAGCACCAAGGGTTCTGAGTCTCAATTCCAGTAAATATTTCTCTGGACCATATGGTATGGACTACGGTCATAAATGAAGTTCTTCAAACCTCACACCAGCAGTGGATCTTTTGTGCATGATGTGTAAATTTTTATTATGCAGGTGAAGATGTAATTTTCATCGCCAACGATTGGCACACCGCCCTTCTCCCCTGCTACTTGAAAACCATGTATCAGTCAGTGGGCATCTATAAGAATGCTCGAGTAGGTCTAAATCACACTGGCTTGTTATTCTGTAGTGCTATTACATATTTCGTTATTTACCTCTATTGCGAAAAACCCAAGTCTTATTGATTAGAGATAGTGACAAAATATAGTATGTTAGTGGTGCAATAGTCACCTTACAAGTTATTTGTGTAGGGTTAAGTCTAAATCACTTTTAAGAATCCCATTTAACATTCATGATCAACTTACAAAATCTTCAAATTTTCTTTTCGGTTGTTGCTATTACCAGGTTGTTTTTTGTATCCACAACATTGCTTACCAAGGAAGATTTTCATTCACAGACTATGCACTTCTAAATCTCCCTGACCAATTTAAAAGCTCCTTTGACTTTATTGATGGGTATGTTGGTCATAAGTTATGTATTGTAATCATGGTAGACAACTACAAATTTTATTTAATTTATGTTGTTCTACTCTTACAGGCATGTTAAACCAGTGTTTGGAAGGAAAATCAATTGGATGAAAGCTGGAATTCTAGAATCATGGTTTGTTATAACTGTTAGTCCAAACTATGCTGAAGAACTGGTGTCAGGTCCAGACAAAGGAGTGGAACTAGACAACATCCTTCGCAAAATTGAAGATCGTTTTGTTGGAATTGTGAATGGCATGGATGTTCAGGAGTGGAATCCATCCACTGACAAATATATAGCTGTAAAATACGATGTTTCAACAGTAAGAACTTTTTTTCAAGAGTTGAAAGTATCTCTAAATGTGTCATGGCTCATAAGTGAAAAGACTAAATAACAAATTTCCCTACTTAGGTTTTGGAGGCAAAAGCTCTTCTGAAAGAAGCCCTCCAAGCAGAAGTTGGATTGCCGGTGGACAGAAATATTCCTCTCATTGGTTTCATTGGTAGGCTTGAAGAGCAAAAAGGTTCCGATATTCTTGCAGAAGCCATTCCCCAATTTATCGAAGAGAATGTTCAGTTGGTAGCCCTAGTAAGTATAAAATGAAAAAAAGAAGAAGAGAGAAGGAAAAACAATTTCTCAACCCTTCAAACACAAGCAAAGGAACAAGAAATCTCATTCAAGGATGTTTTTGCTTTTGTCTTAGGGAACAGGAAAAAAACAAATGGAAAAACAGCTTCAGGAACTTGAAATATCATACCCTGACAAGGCTAGAGGAGTGGCAAAATTCAATGTTCCCCTAGCCCACATGATAATTGCTGGAGCTGATTTCATATTGGTTCCTAGCAGATTTGAGCCTTGTGGTCTCATTCAGTTACAAGCTATGCGCTATGGATCAGTATAGTTCCTGCTTTCACAATCCTTCGTATCTAGTGTTTTTTCCTGTCGTAACATTTCCTAGCCTTAACATTTTTCTTAAACTTCTATTCTTTACTGTGCTAGGTACCTATTGTTGCCTCAACCGGTGGATTAGTTGACACTGTCAAAGAAGGCTTCACTGGATTTCAGATGGGTTCCTTCAATGTTGAAGTAATATTTTCCATCAGTTCATAATCTGCAAGTGTGCCATTCATAGCTGAAGTTCTACGCACTAACCTCAGTATCTTATTTTCAATAATTTGCACTAGTGTGAAGCTGTGGATGCTGCCGATGTGAATGCTATAGCAAAGACTGTCAAAAGGGCCCTTACAATGTATGGAACACCAGCTTTTACAGAAATGATCAAGAATTGCATGGCTCAAGATCTTTCATGGAAGGTGAGTGAGGGCAGAACCTGAGTGGTACTCTTTTAAGTTTAATGGTCAAGTGTAGACCAGTTCTACATTACCTGTGTCATAGTCTTTAGTCTCAAATAGTTTTTACACATTCAATTCAACTAATTAAAAAACATAATAAGTAGTAACAACCAACAAAAACTTATCATGCATACCATATTTCTCACAAGTATATATGCAGCTACCAATCCATACCATATTTCTCTCTTTAACTGAATTTGTTTGGAAACAGGGACCTGCTAAGAAGTGGGAGGAAGTGCTGTTAAGCTTGGGAGTTCCTGGCAGTGAACCTGGAATTGATGGAGAAGAAATTGCTCCACAGGCAAAGGAAAATGTGGCAACTCCATAATAAGAACATTTCCGTGAAGGAAGCCTCTTCTAGTATGACTCATGAAGTTCCCTTAGCCCCTAGCTTCTTATTATCCTTCTTTCTTACTTCCTTTTCTGTTTTCTTCAAAATATATTATAGAAATTAATGTACATTGACACGGTGACTACATGGTTGGAATCAGTGTAATTCACCTCAATGAGTATGACGTCAAGATTAGCATGCATAAATTAAAGCGTTTCTTTATAGTGCAATCTGACTCAATAATAACATATGCAAGATTGAGTGTATTGTGCAAGACAATTTTTTTTTATAAATGGCAGTAATTTATTATTCATTAGGGGATATAATTGTTGACAATTTAACTGAATGATTAAATTATATTATTACAATAGAATACAAATATATATTAATTTTGTATATTTAAGTTTATATTAAATTTAAACTCATTTTTAATATCATATTAGAATCTATTTATTCTATGATAAAAATTTTGGAACATACGAAAACGTGAAATTCCTGAAATTCATTTTATTTATGAAATGAATTAGATTTATCAAAACATTTTTAAATTGATCAAATACCAAAATAGTCTGTTAATTAATTTTTCAAGTTCAATATTAAATCTAAGCTTATAGAATATTTTTTAAAGTTCATTATGATGCTTAATTGTTAAATTTAAAAAAAAAATCAAGCATATGTTAAGTATTAAAGAAAGAAAGTGTAAAAAGGAAAAAAGAAGAAAAAAATAAAATAAAATAGAGTTAAAAGAATATTTTTTTGTTTAAGAAAAAAAAACATAAAAAAGAAAATATATATTTAAAAATATTAAATAAAAATAAAAATTAAATATTTTATAATTACAAAATTATTTAGATAATTATTAATTTTTTAATGAAATAGTTTTTTGAATTCATATCTTCACATTAACATATATTTTTTTAATAATACATACTTTAAACTATAATTATAAAATATTTTTTATTATAAAATTATTTTTTAAAATATGTGAGTTTAAATTAATAAAATAATAATACATTAAAAATATTAAAAATATTAAATTATTTATTAATTTTTATAATTATTTTTATATTTATCATTATTTATGAAATTAATATAATTATATAGTGTCTCCAAATGATTTATTTATGACGAGTTATCAACATTATTATATATTTTTATAATCATATTAATTAATAACTATTTAAAAAAGAAGTTATTTTTTACTTAAGAATTATAGTCACAAAGTAAGAATGGTTATATACTAAAAGAAGAGAGACTATTTCAATCATCTCTGAGACCAGAAATTATTAGCCAGTTACGAATTATTACATGTTTATAATTTTGACTAATTTTTATGTAATGTGCATTTAATTTTTTAATTTAGGAGAATCATTAATAATATTTGATTAATTGTGATATAAAAATAATTAGTTAAAATCACTAAGTGGTAATAAAAGAGTTTCAAATAATTTTTCATTGTTTGACTTTCATTGATAAATTGATGGATTGAATTGTCCAATTCAATTTTATCCTTCAAAATTATTAGTCACTTCAATGTTTAAAATAATCTTATGTACCCATTTACTATGTCATATATTATTGTTGGATGCTACTTACACCAAGACATTAATATTTATAAAATTAGTGAGTAAGTCTTCAATATTTAGAGCATGAATTATGGATTAGTTAGGTCAAATTAGTGGACAAACTTAATATGTTGTACATCATTTATTCATTCCTTGAACAAATAGTTTTGGATCGTGTTTGAGTTATTGGATAACTTCTCTTGGTACATAGCTTGATCTTTGCCTCATCTATATTTATCCTGACAAGACATCATTTGTTTATTTATGTAAGGATTCAGCTGAAGAATCTTGTTCAGAAGTTTTTTCAGTGGTTTGTGGTGGAGCATCTGCACATGTTCTTGTTCTTGTGGTTGATGTAACAGTTACATGATTTTTCCTTTAATGCAATCTTGTTTAAATTGGATAGACACAATGTCAATAAAATAACATATTTTTACCTGCACTAATAGCTGGCAAATCCATTGAAGAAGGAAATGCATGGATAGTATATGAGCCATGGTGCCTATGAATAACTGAAAATTGCATCATTTGCGGATATTGAACTCCAAAACCTTGAGCATGGCTATTGTGTGCATACTGAGCAGAAAAAGGGTAAATGTTATGGACAAAGATTGGTCCAGATGCCCCAATGGAGGGGTAGTGAGTTGGGAACTGTTGCCCTCCAAGAATCTCATAACAGTTCTACAAAATTGCCCAGACAAAAGTGTGTCAAAGTTAATTTCTATGTACTGTTATTGTAGAAGAAAGTTAAATCATCAATAATGCAGAAATAAATATTGGTGTGACTTATATGTAGTTATTTTTAAAAGTAAACAAAATTATGTATTTATGTTTGGATAATAATGCAAAAGTTCTTGTTCTATTTATTATTTTGTGTGAAACATTAATTGCACAAACACCTACCATGGGGTACATCATGTCATGTGAATGTCCAATGTATCTGTCAAAAGTGCAAAGAAGCAAAATCAAAAGAATGCAGAAAAGAAGAGAGAAAGTAGACACCTTCAAAATAGAAAACGACCAAAACTACACATGGTGTTTTATGTTACCCAAAAGTTGAATTAGGAAATGTGTATTCTCCATTGTTTTGATGGACCAATGTGGAGGAAGGGCCATGATAAAGAGGTGAAGCCAAGAAACCAGGTGCTGCTCTGAACCGACCTGCACCTACAATGTGAAGCTATTTCTCAGTTCTTCCTTAAATGACCAAAAACAAGTCATATATGATTATTAAAAGCTGGTTTAACATTTACTTGATAACCAAATAGTAAAGATTTCATGTAACTTCTTGCTTGGTATCAAATATATTAGAATGGAAGAAAAACTCAAACTCAAATTTGTATGCAGAGAAACATAATATTGAGACCATGTTGTGGAGCCTGCGTGCGATTCTTGTTTGCACCAATAGATGCAACGTTGCAATTTGTTCTCCTTCCATCAATTATTGGATAGGGGTGTTGACATGCTTTCATTGCTACCTCTGGATCCTTGAATGTGACCTAGGATGAAAAAAACAACAGCAAAAAAGATTCATTGTTTAAGACATCATGCAAATTGAAATGCAGAAACAAAAACAGCAGAGACATGATAATGAAAAGGGGAAAATGAACTTACAAAACCATAACCCTTGGATCTCCCAGTGTTCTTATCTGTGATAACAACAGCTTCTAAGATCTCTCCGAACTGCTCAAAATACCTCCTCAGTGTGTCCCTTTGAGTCTCCCAAGCTAAGCCTCCAACAAAGATTTTGGTAGAAGTTGTATCATTCATGTTACCACCCACCATCTGGAATTGCTTTATGCAGATATTATGAGTATTAAAACAATTTTCTTATGAAGTTGGCAAGGAAAACCCAGAATAAAAACAATTTTGTTATGAAGATCACGTCAAATAATTACAAAAACTTCTTGAGTTCCTCAACATTTATTAAAAATCTCATACATAAGAAAAAGACCTAACTTTTTTACTGTGTCACCTCTTCTTCTGCTATTTCATACATAATAATGTATGATGTCAGGAGCACAAAACTTGTGCTTCGTTGTATTCAACCTTCCCTTATGTCCACCTTAATTCTGCTTCCTCTATTTAGGATATTTGTGGAACTCATGCCTTGTGGACATGATACGATAATGTTCAAATCATTTTTTTTTCTATAAATAAATAACCTCTTTTAATATTGCTTCAGTGTTCATCTTGATCTTTTTACTCTTTGTTTGTGTGCATGTGTTTCTCTAACCTCCTTAACTCATTCTTTCTGGAGTTGTTGCAATTCAATTCTATGAACAAAAAAGGATAAGAAAGAAGGAAACTAAAATTAAATTATTGATTCTAATTTGGGATCTTTATTTATTTTTATTTGTTAATACATGAATCCAACTCTTCATATATGCTAAAACCACCCTCTCTGTCTTCATTATTTGCCATCTATTTTTATTTTTTATTTTTTATTTTTATCAAAATTGCTTAGCTTAAATAATTTGTTTAACATTAAAAGGAAAACAGTGAAACACCACATCTTCAAAAAATAATACTATTTTATCCTTTATAATAATATATACGGTAAAAACATACTATTTTTTTCTACCTATTTTCAATTAAATTATAAACTTAAACTTACTTTTCGATTGTCATAAGTTTAAATTTATTTTTAGTCCTCATAATGTTGCCAATGTGTAATTTTAGTTCGAATAAAAGTTTAAAATTAGATTTGATTCTTTACGTTTTCAAAATTAAACAATTTTGTCTAAGTTAAGATATTAATCATTCTTCTTATTGCTCTATTAAAAACAAAATCGGCAATCAACAAAACTAACTAGTAAAAAACTATATACTATTTTTAAGATGATAAATGAAAAATATATTTTTCAATGTTATTTCTTTTTGTTTCTGTTAAACTGGTTTTTATTATATTTTGTTTGATTATGTTTTTGTCGATATTATTATTAGAATGTATTAATTGAATAAATATTTTTAACATATTTAATACTCTTCGTTCCAACGAGTTATTCAATTCATTCAATTTAATTTCCTGTCACTGAAGCATCTGTTTCCTAATAAAAATAGATTTTAGATAAACCATACTATTTGCTTGGAAATTGATTTTAGGGTGTTGTTTTCTCTGCTTCCTAATACTTCCTTGCCTATAATTATATTAAATTTTATTTTACCTCTATAATTATCTTTATTTTGTTTAGATTGACATCTGTCGAAGCACATTCCAGAGCACCCACTTTAAAATATGTTTTTAGAAAGAATTTTTCAGTAACATATTTGGAAAAGGTTTTTTTTGGAAATTTATTACAAAATACCTAATTCAAAATATATTTTTAGAAAAGTTTATTAAAACACTAATTTCGGAATATATTTTTAGAAAAATCAATTTAAAATATATTTTTGAATTAATTTTTTCAAAATTCAACCTCATTATTTGAGTTTGTTTATACAATTTGAGAACAGAAACATATAATCTGTATATAATATTAATGATTATTTATTTTTTTTATTATTAGAAAAGACCTTCTACAGTGATGATAAAAAAAAATCAAATAACTAGAAAATAAAAGTGCTGAGAAGTTATATACAAATAAAAAAGAAGTTAGGATTAAAAGAAAAATTATAGAAAAAATATTTTAAATATTTAACTTGGATATGGATACAAGAAAAACAGTTACGAGACGGCGTGAGCGTTGATTTTATTTAGTTTTGGATTAACTTTGCATTCTATGGACAAAAGATTTTAGGCCCAACACTATAATAAAAGCTACATAGGTTGGGTGTTTCTTCTTGCAAGATTTTCTTCCTGCACCTCCATATTCATTTTAAATAGTATTATCTTTGATGTAAATAGGTTCTAAAAAATACACAAAACATTTTTATCATTTAACATGTATTATATATTACGAGGGTACAAGAAGAAAATATGATGGTGCACACAGAAAGGGCCATTAAGAGGAACTCCGAACTTACCCAATTTACATTGGGTGTTGATAAGGGGCCCATTTTACTTTAACAATATAATAACAAAAATAAAATAAAATAAAATAAACGATATCCGGATTTATTAGAAGATGTTCAAAATACTAGGCAAAAGCATCATGAATCGTTTATTTAAGAAAAAAAATACGAAATTAAAGAAAGAAAACTAGAAAATGGGATGACTTTTTAAATTGTTTTGTGAAAAGGAAAATGAATAAAAGGAAGATAGATGTTTGCTTGTAAATTTCTAAATATAAAATTGTAATCGTTTTTTTTTAAATAAAATTTTTCAATGAATATTTACAAAGTTTTTTTTTCCTGTTCGGCTTTATATACAAATATTTGAAAACAGACAAAAAATAAAAATAATGTGACAATTTACAATTAATAATGAAGCCAGAAATTAAATCAGGAAATAAAAACTTAGAGTTATTATATATATGCTTTTAATATTCATATTTGAGTTTATGGGATGCCTTTTTAATGATAATTACTTACAAGAGATACGTTTATTTACTTTAAATTTGTAGGTAAATTGTAGAAAATATACGCTCATATCTCATAAAAAATGTAAATTTAAAATTTATTATCAATATAAATATTGATAGATAATCTATAATTATTTTTTATTTGTGTTTATTTACTTTGATACTTACTCTTGAAAACAAATCCTTGAGACTCTGTTAAAAAACACAACACAAATAAACAATGGACTGTCTTTTACATTGACAACAATTGGAACCGTTACATAAAAGTAAAATAATGTTGTGCTTTCAATGATAACTTCGAAATTTTAAGTTCCTCTAAATCTTCATCATTTGAATCCCGTTAATGACCATCATTGACTACATAAAAATAAAATGTACGTGAGGAAATAATGTCACACATTGAATATTGGACCACCCCAAAAAACCCATGCTAATAATTAATTAATTAATTAGTCTGTGAAGACATTAATGACAGGATCAAAAGCCATATAAATAACACCTTTTCAGATAAAGTGTGTTGGAGTTGTGGTATCTATAACCTTTCAAAGCTTTTCGTCATTTATTGGAAAGTTGGTCCAAAGTTGTAAACCTAGAACAAATGATCCACCTCAATCTTGTAGTCTTATAGAGCTAAAGAGTGAAAGGAATCATTCCACATGATTCTAAGGGTTGTTTTAATCTACCATACATCATCATTAAAACCCAAGGTTCAAATTGTAATCAAGTGTCACCGAAAGTTGTAGGGTTATCACAATGTTGTTAGATAGGAAAAAAATAAGAAGAAGAAAAGGGTCCTATAAAATATGCTTATTTTTACATACTTTATAACATAAAAAAAAATTATTAATCCCTTTTATATTTAATTTATTTTAAGGAATTAGAATAAATATTATAATATTCAAGTTGAATAGTTCATTGTATAAGACAAACGACTTAAATCTCAGTATTTACTACTTATACTGAAAAGTTACGTGGTGTGAAGAAATTTCGCTTAATAATCAATCTTTTAAATTAATTACACGGTAAAATAATTTTAAGGGATAGATTATTAAAATCTCATTAAAAAGTAGAATATATTACTACAAATTTTGTAAAAAAATTAAGTTATTTAATAAATATTGTCAGAATCAAAATATTTAAACCCATCAAAACCAAAACTAAAACGAATTAACCCATTAAACAAATATTTAAGATAATATTAGATTCCAAACAAGTGTTTCTTAATTAAAACTAACTAAAATGTTGACCATTTTTTTCTACAACAGATACCGATACCAAAACATGGTGAAAGATACGTATTAGATGTTGTTCCATCTAAAAATGAAACGAAAATATTTGGGACATAATAATAAACCTGAAATCGGACACTATCGTGTAAAGTTGTTTTCAATACCACACAGTCAAAGCAAACATGTGTGCTTCCAATTCCATCACAACCGACAAGTGCTGTCGTAACACAGTGAAAGGCAACCTGAGTTCGGTCGCTAAAGAGTCCGATTTTGACTCGATCAACGTTGTTAACCTTTCATTATCAGTCGTAATCCCTTATCCTACCACGTATCTATGTGGCCCTACCCACCATATCCTTCACCAAGAGATTTTGTTTTTGTAGATTATAAGAAACTTTTAAGCGAGACACCTTCAGTTGAGAAAATTTAATTGGAATCCGATAAAATTATTATAAACAATACATTTTTATGTAATTAATTTAACTATTTTTGTGTTTATTAATTGTGAAAATGGCCTGTTTAAACTAGAAAATTGTCATTAATTCTTAAAACATACAAGTGCAACAATATTTCCATGAATAATTTCTAGTAACTTAATAGAAGAAATTTGGAACAAAACAAAAGTGTTAAACGATTTATAAATTCACATGACTTAAAAAATAAATCACTTTTGCAATCTAATGTTGATCTTTGCATTGTTTTGTTTGCTTCTACGGACATACAGTAAGGATCTGTGAAGAAAGTTGCTTTTAGAAAATGAAAATCATTCAAATAAAGAGTTTAGTAATAATGACTTCTCTTTCTTAGCTTTTTCTTGTTATTCAATTATACTGATAACAGTAATAATAAACAATATTAAATTATTATGAATAAATTATATTTAATTACTTGATTTTCTTTCTCTTTATTCAAAATTCTTATCTGTTTCTCATCCAAACAAAGACATAGGGTATTTCAATCATGATTTGGAAAAGTTTAAAGTTTAAGATTAAATTTGATATATAAGGATGAGTTCTTCACATTGTCTTACTTAAATTTGATATTATACATTCTGTTAAAAATATTTTATTTTAAATAATTATGTATTAATAATAATATTTTTATAATTTTTTAATATTATGATATTACACTTATAATTGCATTATAAGTTAAAACATATATTACATTATAAGTTAATGATGTTTTTATATTATAAAATTAAATATAAATGCTAAGGTTGATTTATTATATTCGAAAGTCATATATTGACCTGCTATCGTCTCAAATTCTTGGAATATTGACTAGTTAAGTAAATTATCTACTCCATTTATTTTTTTGGCTCAAATTAAAAAAACTTAATAAAACTAATAATTTAATTTCTTAAATATTGAAATCCCATTTTAATATTAAAAAACCCTTTGCACCACTGACTTAAAAAATTTGAGTCCGTCGGTGAAGAATGGGTCCCCATTGAAATGGATATGAAAATGAATCATCCATTGATTGCATTTTTACGTATTCATCAACTTTTACACGACCACACTCTTCTTTTTATGGCACCTCGTCAAAAGTGGGTCCTCTTTCTACAAAGCAAACGTAAGCTGGATATGAACCACCACACCAAAAGGAATGCACCATTCACCACAATCACCATTTCTTCTTATGGAGAGTATATTATATACTTTGTTCTACACGAAACTAAATCTCTTTTATGAGATAAAAACAAGTCAAAATTTATGACCACTCAAATAGTGGGTCAGAGTGAGTTTTCTTTTTTTCGTGGATGTGTTTTTATAGATATTTTTATGGTTTTTTTATTATTAAATGATATAATTATTTAAAGGTTCGTTTAGACGTTTTAGTATTCACTTTAAGTGATATTTTGCTTCTTATTTATGAAAAATCAATAAAAGAAAAAATTATTTGGTCACTAATATTTCTGCAAACTGGGCATAATTTTCCCTTCAAATATGAAGTCTTCATTCTTATGGACTTTAAAGATGACTTTGTTGAAAATTTTCTATGGTTCAATTGATAGAAATATTTTTTGATGAAAAAATATTTGAAAAATATATAATATTCCCAAAATTCACAATTTATTTAAATAACCAGGTAAAAAAATATAAGTGATTTGTACTGTGAATGTAAAAGAATTGATTTTAAAATAATTAAATTAAAATATTAGTTTTATTGAATTTACAAGAATTTATAAATAAAAGGACATTATAAAAGAGTTATGTTGAGTTAGTGAATTAGAAATTAGGGTGAAAAATGTATTAGTAGTAATATATTCAACAGAATTTATTATGCGGTTCTGAAAATCATTAATACTTTAGTTAAGAAATTGGTTGAGTTTTAATAAATTTTTTTAATAAAAAAAAATGAATGCTCCTAAAATATTAGGTATTCATCAATCTCAGAAATCTTCCACTAATAATAGATTGATTATATCTATGCTTAAAAAACTAATCTTTTTACTTCACAATCCAATCCTTAAGAAAGGTTACCCACTCTATTATTTTTGCAATTAGACACACTGAAATTAATCAATATATATGATCCAGAATCGTTGACCTTTTGATTAATTTTGTTTGAGTTTTGATAATTGAATATCACAGGGTATACAAGAAAAGGATCATGAAATATCAAAATTATTAGTTCTTTTCTAATAATACAAGCAAAGTAGGACCACCCCACTAATAATAGCCACCAAGCAATACACACCCGATTCAAGATCCCATAAGAAAAGTATTTCATGTCCTTTTGTGTCGGTTTCTTCGTTCATCTATCTTTCCAACCATCAACAAGAAACCCTCAAGAAACCTCCTCGATCACTTCCATTCCCGCCCCAAAACCAAATCCTTTTAATCTAGCCACAACAAAAACACACCAACACCACCTCAAAGACCACCTTAACCACACGACAAATACAATAAACAATCCCTGCTTTTTTTTGTTTTCTCCTAAATCCGATCCAACTCGTGTTATGGGAAACTGCGTGTTCAAAGGGTTTCAACATAACATGTCCGAAGACATGATGGTGAAGGTGGTAACCTCAAATGGAGGCATCATGGAACTCTTCTCTCCCATAACCGTGGAGTGCAGAACCAACGAGTTTCCCGGCCACGGCATCTTCCGAAGCCGCCGCGACATCTTCTCCGAACCGCTACCGAACACCGAAGAGCTCCACGGCGGCGAAGTCTACTACCTCCTCCCCCTCAACCCTTCTTCCTCCAGAAAGACCATGACAAGACAACTATCCGATGTGGCCTTAACGCCATACCGAATGTCCACGTGCGACAAAAGCAACAATAACAATAACAACGTGTATTCGGAACCAGAAGTGGTTACGAGATACAATAATAGTGGAGTGTGGAAGGTGAAGTTGGTGATAAGCCCTGAGAAGTTGTCGGAGATTTTGTCGCAAGAGTCGCGGACGGAGGCGTTGATAGAAAGCGTAAGGACGGTGGCGAAGTGCGGCAACGGCGTGCCGTCGTCGGTGGCGAACTGCGATCAGTGGAGTTTGGCAAGCAGTTGGAAAGGTTCTATGTCGGAGAAGATGGGTTTAGAATAACAAGCTAAGATTAATTATTTGAATTTTTTTCCTTTTTAAATTTTTTCTTATTGTTTAACAACTCTGATTATTTTCTTGCTGTTTGTTTGTGAACGTGTTGAATAGTACATTTTAGGTACTGTACGTGTGTGTGTGTATATATATATATATATGCATGTGAAGTGAGATATTGTTTATTTATTATTTTATGTTAAATAATTTTAAAATAAGAGTAAATGACATGGGTTAGAGAATTATATTTGATATATTTCTTGTGTTAATACTATTAAGAATATATGTTACTATATTGTTACATAAATTGAGAAAAGTATGTTTATGAGGAACGAAATTACCTTTTATACATATAGTATACTGTAAGATATCCGAAATTGTTTTAGATGTAATTTTTTTAAATGAATTGATATAAAAATTGAATGCTAATAGTTTATTATCATTAGAGCAGTGTAACATAATTTTATGTAATCAGAGTATTCAAATAAAATTTTAAATAGAAAAATATAAAATATAAATAGTTTTTCATTAAAATTTAAGGGACAAGTATAAGGTAATATAAAAATAACTTATAATGAGTTTTTATATTTTTTTTACTTATTAATCTTATATTAAAAATTGAGGTTAAGAATAATTTTTATATATACTTTTTTTCTAATGTTTACAAAAAAATTTAAAGTAAATAATATCTCATTAGGATTAAAAAGTCAAGATTAAAGATAATTTATACATATAATTTTTTTAATATTTAATAAAAATTTCAAAATAAATAATATCTAATCCTAATAATATTATATAAAAGACATAAAATTCAGGATATACTCAGTTTCTAGAAAATTTGTTTTCATTTTTTTCAAATCCATGTATAGAATTTGTGAATTGTTACGAGTTTGAGTTTGATATATTTCAATTAAACTCTAAAATAATTTGGAATGAAATACTTCAAATCTCGTCAATTATATATAAAAAAAATATTAAGATTTTTAGACTTAATACTAAACACTTAAAAGTAATAAGCTTTTACAAGAAAAAAATATTTATAATAATTAAAAATAAATGTTGAAAATTAAATTATTTTTATTTTAAATTATTTAGTTTTTAAATATTTTATTTAGATAAGTCAGTTAAAATATTTTAATTATCACCAAATATAGAAATTACTATATATTGATAAAAATATAAATCGATAAAAAATAGTTATTACATACTTCAACTAGAAAAAGTTTATTAACATTTATAAAAAAAAATGGAAGTTTCATCGTAATGAGAGATTGTCCTGAAAATGTCAATAGAAAAATAATTTCTATCATCGACTAAAAAATCCTGAATTACATGGCGTAAAAGATAGCGTTATTGACAATGAGAGATAAAAAAAAAGATTTACATGTAATAAAGTGATAATTTTATAAGTAATAATTAAAAAATAATACTACTAAAATTAATATCGATTACCTAAAAATAAGGTATATATATATATATATATATATATATATATATATATATATATTATTTATTTATTGCTCAAAATATTTTTTAATATGATATTAAATGATAGTATAGGCTTTTTTTATTAAATAGGTATAATTTTATTAAAAATTTATTGAAATGGATAAAGTTTTAAAAAATGAAGAATTTAAATAAATCATGCTATAACTATAAGTACAACTCTAGGTAAAAAAGTAGTAATTTCTAACACAACCTAATTTAGATAATCTCATTATTTAATATCATCATTATCCGATGATATTGAATATTTAAAAAAGAATGAGAGACAGAAATTGTCATTGTCAATTAATATCAGAAAATGAAAATGACATAATTATAATATTTAAGGACAAAAATTAGTGGCTGATTGAAATAAGTGATATGAAATAATAACATTATTGTTGTTGATTAGGTAAAAGAGACAAACGGTGATCATGTGGATAATTTAACATCTTTCAATTAATCTTTATCATGACAGTGCCTTTTCTCATTATATTCATGTATCTAAATTTGCATCGTGAGGTTTCAGGAATGTGACTATGCTTGGAAAGTTTGATTTTGCATTGGATAGGAAATATTTATATATTGATGTATGATATGATATGGTTAGGTTAATAGAAGATTAAAGATTCCTCACTGTTTGTAAAATTGGAGTGGTGAGTAATCACGTGAAATGGTTGAATTCATCGTAAAAGTTGTCATTGTCATTATTCACTGTGCATGGAAGGTCTCAGTCTTTGTGTTGGTAGAGGATGCATACGCTACTTCCACTTATCCTAATGTCAGGTACCCACTGTAAGCATCACTACACTTATTAATTATATTTAGAATCATTTTTATATATTTTTTTCAAATATAAATTTATTTATATTACATATATAATGTGTTTATCCAGGATATATATATATATATATATATATATATATATATATATATATATATATATATATATATATATATATATATATAGTATAGATTACAGATTTATAAAACTTAAAAGAATTTTTTTAAAATATATAATTTGGAACTGTAATTTTTAATTATTTTACCTCATAATAAAATTTACCATTCCTGTATAACACAATCTTTGCAATAGTTTAAAATCTGTTTCAATATATTTTATAGAAAGTGTAAAATTAAAACTTTTCACAACAGTATATTATTTTAATTGTTATACTTAAAATTCGTAAAGTAAAAAAGTAAGGAAAATAAGTGAAAATGAGTGAAAAGAAAAGTATTTTATTAAAAAAGTAACAACAAAAACATGTCACCCATTATAATGTGTAAGTTTACTTTTTCATTCATATACAAGTTGAAAAGAATGGAAAATAAAAAAATACTTATTTACAAAATTGTCTGTATTTAAATAAATAATTCTTTACTTTTATATTTAAAAAATATATATGATTATTATTTTAATCAAATAATATTTTTAATAATTTAAAATGAATAATTTAATAAATAAATTTTTATTTATAATACAATATTATTTTATTAATTTTAATTTAAATATTAAAGAACTAAGTTTATAATAAAAAATATTTTATAATTACATATCAAAATATATATTATTGAAAAATTGAATATTAATGTAAATATAGTACTTAAAAACAATTTTATTAATAAAAAAGTAATTAATAATTATATATAATTTAAAAAATATTTAATTTAATTTTAATTATTTATTAATTTTTAGAATAAATAATTTTGTCATTTTCATGTCATTTTTTTTAATACAAATATTTTTATTTTATTCTATTTTATTTTCTTTCCTCGTGTTTTTTCCTATTACCGAATACACATGGAATGGAAGCCTATTTTTACAAGTTCCATGTAATGGATACGTGCATATAGAATTTTGGGAGGTACGAAAAGTAATAGTAAATGCATAAAGAAGCCCCAATTTTGAACACGTAAAGTCCACATCCTTTCAGGTTATCTGGAATCACGGCCCAGTCGTTTCCTTGACCCAGAATGATTATCATCAATTGAAACTCCAAATTAGTCACAGTATAAACCGTTTCACGTTCATGAAATTATTGAAATTTAAAGTTATCCAAATTAGTTCTTAAAGTTATATTCGGTCTCTCAGATTAATTATGTTTTTAAATGAGATTCATTAATGTTAACATTCGTATTTGAGTAATTTAATGTTAAATGATTCATTTTTTTTAAACGTTCCATTACAGTTCATAGGAATGAACCAGCGAAAACGTTGTATAAAACGTTCGTATTGATACGATGTCATACTGATGTGCGATCTGATGCAGGTTTTTTTTTTTCCGGACATGGTTACTCAGTATTTTAAGATTTTGTTTATATTATTATGATTTCAAGTATATAAAATCTGGTGATTATTTTTCAACAAAAATCGAATTTGAATTATTTTTATCTAATAAGAATGCGAAAGGAAAAAAAGTGTCCAAATAAATACGCACTTGCAAGTGGTGCCTCGTGGATATTATTTAAAGGCTTATCCATATCTACGGGTTACGATAATGAGTTATGATGATGACGTCAATCTTATACCTTACTTATTTAATTTAAATAGTATAATTGATCGAGTTTAATTTCTTAACACTTGTAATTGATTAGAAAAAAAAATATTGATATAATTTTTATAATTATTATCATAAAAACCAATAAATTTAGTACACACAGTAATTTATAATTTCCTCTCTCGTCAAATCCAGTAATTAGTTATATTTACATTATCATCCTTAATATCATTAAACAGAAAAGACACAAAAGAATGACTTTGGCTTGACGCAAATACATGTTATGACCACAATCCCACAACACACCCATGAATGTGCGAGTGCCCACTACAAAAGGTGATCCTTTTTCCTTCAAAATTTGCCAGAGACCATTCATTTACATTCATCACTTTGCTTTCGACATGCTTCCAAAATCCAAAAAGCTTCACGAGCAAGAGAAAGAACAAAATACTAATCACATATACTTATTTTTTTTATTATATAAATCTTAAAGATGTTTCTCTTGTACCAAAAAGACAATGCCTCTAGCTAGAACATCGTTTTCGTCTCTATTAATTGTGTTTGGAAATTTCTATTTCAATATTTCTTTTATTCAGTGAAAACAAGAATAGATAGGTGGATTGGGGCTTGGCCTCGCTCTGGAGTTGTCGCTCTAGCCATACTATTGTGCTCATAATTTTCTCCTTATTTTTATTAGTATAAGAACAAACTATTCTAAAATATAAAGTCAGGGTTTCATTTCGCCTGTGGTTTACAATCACGCAATATAAATATCCCACTTAGTGTTGACTTGTAAAAACCAACCGGTCAATGGTCTCAGTACCATTGTACTTGATTTTCTTAAATAATTTTTAAATTCGAATAATAGGTGTTTCTGGTCTAAATTAGTTTGTTTAGAGTGTATTTTTTACGAGATACATCAATTTTACGAGATCAACCAGTTTATCACACTGTGAATTCTTCTAACTGTGTCTCGCAAGTGAATACCTTTTCAATCTGGAAAAAGATTATGCTTTAAATTCAATAATCAAAATAATAACAAATTTTATCAGTGATGTTTCCGATTTTCAATATAAGTTTTAACGCTCTAAAGTTGACGTGTTATAAAAGTAAAATATTAAAAACGTAAAAAGAAAACTTAATCCATTAATAAGAATAAAAGACAAATTAATAAATAAATTTAACAAAAATGTAACCCAAATTACCAAAAATCTTATCGAAATCCCCTGATCCTAAATGTATTATGTTGCTAAGAGGTAAGTTTTTTCTAATAATTTGTCACTCTTATTTTTCTTATTTATATGTTTCTCAGTGTAACAACCAAGGAAATAAAAAAATATAATAATTAAAATAAATAACAGATAGTTGTTTTTTCCAATAATTATTTTCCTCCTTTCTTGAGTAATTGTCTTAATACTTAATACTAATAACTATCCATGCCATGTAATAGGTTATAATTGGAGCTAACTTGTCCTAATTACATAGCTTTTATCTCAATTTTTTTGTCTTCTTCAATTTATATATATATATATATATATATATATATATATATATATATATATATATATATATATATATATATTTATCTTTTTTTTTTTTGATCTTTTGATCTTTCTCAATGAGATAATTTGCCTTTCAACCTATTTATCTTTTTTTATTTTATGATTGATAGGTTGTATTTCACCTTTTATAAATTTATGTCCTACTTATCTTGATTAAGTCTTATTCAATATCTCCTTCTCAAAGTTTTCAATTTTTAATAATATTGTCTACTTTTGTTATTATATTTTTGATTTTATTTTTGATTTTATTTTTACTTATATTACATATTTGATTGTTTGATCTTCGAGCCTTCCTTTTAATTTTTTATAAATATTTAATTTTTTAATTCTTTGATGTTTCTTAATCACTTTGTTTTTGTTTCGATTAATCTTTCAATTACCATAAAAAATTTGATCTAGTAATCCTTTTATTTATATATCTGGATCATTTTATGTCCTTTAATTTTGAGTTTTTAATATCTTTCTATTAAAATTATTTATATTTTCGATTCTCAAATACTTTCAATTTTTTTCATTTCAATTTTTATCATTTGTTTATTATTTTACTCTCAATATTTATTTTTACTTTGTCAATCCTTTATCGTCCAATTATAATTTATTTTTTTATCTACTATCTTGATATTGATTTTTACCTTATCAACCTATTACTGTTTTTACCTTATCAACCTATTACTGTTTCGACCTTAATTTTTTCTTCTTATTTTATTACCTCTCAGAATTTTAATTTTACCATCACCTCAATTTCTAGCACCTTAATTTTTTACTTTTTTAATTTTAATACTTTCCTTGGATTCATTATTGAGATACATTTATAATTTTATGACACAAACAAACAATAGGTAATATGATTAATCAAGTCAATCAAGTTTCTTCATAAATATTAATTATCTACTCTACCTACCGGTCCCATACATCATAGACAGTATATTTGAACAAATATGTCGGCTATTAGTCGAGATATTTAGAAATTTTGATAAAAATAAAATATCAAAGAATTCTTATTTAAATATAATTTAAATATTATTATATAAAGTATTTGATATTTTTTTATTATAGATTATTATGACAGTTTTATATAGTTCTACGTACATTGACTTAAATATCAGATAGTTTTTTATAAATATTTTTTCCATCTTTTTCTTATTCTATATGTACTCGAACTTACCTATAAAAAACTCGATTGTTGTTCCAAATCCAACTAACAACTTGTACAAACTATGAATAACATGGTTAAAAATACCGCGTAATTAAAGTTCTGTATGCTGGAAGTAAACAATGAAATAGAAGGAAGTATGTGCAAACACGTCTTGTAATTTTCGGGCAAATTCCTTCATTAGCATGTTTTTCAAATTAAATTATTCACTGGATGAATTTATTCAGTTTTCACTAAAAAAAATGGAATAAATGAAAGGAAATTTATTAATAGTTGAGCATAGCGTATAAAAGGGGATTGAATATTAATGACGATATAGACATACATGTGCCTCATACTTTAAAGTCCATGTGTATGAACAAATCACAACGAAACTTGAGCTCATCCTTTTCTAGTTTCCAACCATGAATAATAAAGACAAACTTGTACAACCTGCGCTTTAAATGGTAAATATTATACCAAATTTTCCAGGTTTTTATTTTAAGAGATTAATTTGTAAAGCAAACATTGAATCATTTTATCAGCTTATTTAATCATTAGCATGTTACGAGGATAGAAAAATATTTTAAATACTGTGTATCAAACTTTCATTTTTTAAAATTTACCGTGGGAAAAGATCCATATTTCTTTGTACACTAAATACGCGGTATGGTCATGGGATATGGACCAAACAAGCAATAACGTTGAAAGATTGTAATTGTTAACGAATGAGCCTTCAAAACAAAAGTGTCCAAAACCCACGGCACGGGCATACATTGCTCCTCAATCATGGGGGGGACTGGGGTCCCTTAGAAGATACCTTTTGGGATAGACAACTTTTGATATCCTAGAATTCTATCTCTCGTCATCTCACATATTTGTGATCTATAAGTATGACTAATTTTTATTTATTATGGATAAAGTTGTAATTAATATATATTGTGATATCTATTAATTAATCATAATTTATTCTAATTATTATTTGAGATTTTGAAATCGTACGTCTAATAAATTACAAGAATTTGTTAACTCTAATTTGTAAACAATCTCATACACTATTATTGATAATGTGGTTCTCCATCTGATATTCCATTATGATATTTTATATTGTTTTAAATTATTAATGAGTTTCAAATTTTTGCTTATATGATTGAAAACTTTCATATCAATAGTTTATGTTGCCTTAAATTTATTATATTTTTTATGCAATAATAAATTTAAATTTAAGAAAAATATTTTCTATTTTTTAATTAAATACATTATAAAATTAAAGTTAATAAATCTCTTATATGCCATAATTTGTTAGAATAAATAAGAATATAGAATAATTTAAATTAATTTTCACATATATCATAATCTTCATGTTAATAATAATAATAATAATAATAAAACAGGAGTTACAATTTTGAATACAATATCATGATAAATCAGAATGTGGAATAATTAAAATTAGTTTTAATTAATTTATAAAAATCATCATATATGTCAAGATTCATATTTTAATTTTTAGTATGAAGATGATCTTACGAGGGCTAGGTAAGGAACAGCACAACTAGGTACGTTCTCTATTTAAGCACCAAGTTTGCTCTGGAGTCATTCACCTTGACACAATCATGGCTACCCATATTTGTCTCTCTCTTTGCTTCTTCTACGTCACAACCCTCCACCTTGTTTCCACGTTAGCTCAGTCTGATAATTATATAATACACATGGACATATCAGCCATGCCCAAAGCATTCTCCAACCAACAGACTTGGTATCTATCCACTCTTTCTTTAGCATTGATAAATTCCAAATCCACCGCTAATGATGATCTTAAATCTATTATTTCTTCCAAGCTGCTTTACTCCTACACCAATGTCCTCAATGGTTTCAGTGCAAACCTGTCACCTAAAGAGCTTGAAACTCTTAAAGCCTCGCCGGGTTATGTCTCTTGCATGCGAGATTTACCAGCCAAGCGTGACACAACGCACTCACCGGCCTTCCTTGGCCTCAACCCCTATGTAGGGGCATGGCCAGCGGCACAATTTGGCAAGGATGTCATTGTTGGTGTGGTGGACACTGGAATTACGCCAGAGAGTGAAAGCTTCAAAGACAATGGAATGAGTATAGCTCCTTCAAGATGGAAAGGCCAATGTGAAAGTAGCATCAAATGCAACAACAAACTCATTGGAGCAAGGTTCTTTAACAAAGGGTTGTTGGCAAAGCGTCACAACATCACCATAGTGAACTCAACACGTGACACTGATGGGCATGGAACTCACACGTCAAGCACTGCAGCTGGGAGCGTAGTTGAGGGTGCATCATACTTTGGCTATGCTCCTGGATCAGCCACAGGAATAGCTTCAAGTGCGAGAGTGGCCATGTACAAGGCCCTGTGGGATGAAGGAGCTTACACGTCTGATATTATAGCTGCAATTGATAGTGCAATATCTGATGGGGTAGATGTTCTTTCCTTGTCATTTGGCTTTGATGATACACCTCTGTACGAGGACCCTGTTGCAATAGCCACGTTTGCAGCTATGGAGAAAAACATTTTTGTGTCCACGTCAGCAGGGAACGAAGGTCCTTACCTTGGAAGACTTCACAATGGAATACCATGGGTCATAACGGTGGCTGCTGGCACTTTGGACCGTGAATTTCACGGGAATCTTACTCTTGGCAACGGAGTCCAAATAACTGGTTTGTCTCTCTATCATGGAAACTTCTCCTCTAGCTATGCTCCAATTGTTTTCATGGGGTTGTGCGACAAAGTGAAGGAACTGGCCAAAGTGAGGAGCAAGATTGTTGTATGTGAAGACAATGGAACTATCATTGATGTTCAAGTGTCTAACATGTATAAAGCAAAAGTTGTCGCGGCAGTGTTCATAACAAATAGCTCTGACAGCTCCTTTTTCTTAGATAATAGCTTTGCAACTATTGTTATTTCCCCAATAAACGGGGAAATTGTAAAATCTTACATCAGAAGCACTAACTCTGTAGCAAAAGCAAGCATGGCTTTTGGGATGACTGATTTGGGTACTAAACCAGCACCAAGTGTGGATAGTTACAGTTCCCGAGGGCCTTCAAGTAGTTGTCCGTTTGTGTTGAAACCGGACATCACTGCTCCTGGTACATCAATCTTAGCTGCATGGCCTAACAATGTTCCAGTGGAAGTGTTTGGATCCCAAAGGATCTTCACCAACTTCAATTTGTTAAGTGGCACATCCATGGCATGCCCTCATGTTGCTGGTGTAGCAGCATTATTAAGAGGAGCACACCCTGATTGGAGTGTTGCATCCATTAGGTCTGCCATCATGACAACATCGATCTGGCTTGATAACACCTTTGGACCCATCAAAGACATTGGTGATGATTACAAACTAGCCTCTCCTTTGGCCTCTGGATCTGGTCATATCAATCCTAATGGAGCCCTTGAGCCTGGACTTGTTTACGATGTGGGGGTTCAAGATTATGTTAATCTCCTCTGCGCCCTTGGCTACAACCAGAGGAACATCACGGCCATCACAGGAACCTCTTCCAATGATTGTTCCAAACCTTCTTTGGACCTGAACTACCCTTCTTTTATTGCTTTCTTCAATAGCAACGATTCAAGGACAACAAAAGAATTTCAGAGAACAGTGACCAATGTTGGGGAGGGACAAGCAGTCTATATTGCCAGCGTTACACCCGTGGAAGGATACGAAGTTAGTGTCATCCCTAAAGTGTTAGTGTTCACCCAGAAGAACCAGAAGTTGAGCTACAAGTTGAGAATCGAAGGTCCTAGAAGGAAGACACCGAAGAAGGTTGTTTTTGGGAATCTCGTTTGGACGGACTTGAGACATGTTGTCAGGAGTCCCATCGTGGTCACCACCGTCAAATTCGATTTCTAGACTAAGTCGTGAAAAAAATAAAATTATATATATATATATATATATATATATATATATATATATATAAGAAGTCCTCGTAAACTCGTATAATTTGGATTTTAAATATATGTTACGTACTCCACAAATAGTTCATTGATTTTATGTTAACTTAACATGAATCAAAGTCTAACATCTTTCAGTTATTGTCAGCAAAGTATTCTTTATTGGTCAAAAGCATCTTACGACAGGTTTGGAGAGGCTTGAAATCTCACATCACTTCATATTATTTTATATGTTAAAATACGTAACTTCACAAATATAACTTCAAAATAGTCGATTGTTTTATGTTGTAACTCAACAATATATTTATAAATTAAGTGAAAAATGTATATCAAATAAAGAGTTTTAAAGAAATTAATTGGCCATTCCCACTTGATTAATATAATCTTTTTATGATTTCACAAATAACATTGATTCTTTTGTACTTCAATTTTTAATATATTATTTAGTGTTAAAATGAATCTAATTAGATAAATAAATATAAAAAGTCAATTAAGTAAAAAAATTACAATCATATGCAAAGATGCAAAGATGTGAAAAATCTCCTTTGATCTAGCAAATTTTGTTTGTTTGTATTTTTATTCGATCATATTAGCTGTATACACTCAGGATGTGTGATTTTTATTCAATAAAACCACAAACAAAATGTTGAAGCATGTTTCATTGTCCGGAAGTTTTCCTTATTTTATTTCTATAATTTGCACAAAAACAAACAGTATACTTTGTAAACAAATAAATTTACTTTTTCCCTCCTTGAGAATGTTAATTATCAATACAAATTATTGTTATTAGAAACTAAATGATTAGTCTCTAAATGATAAATGTAGTGATTATTAATTTAATTACATACTAATTTAGAGTCTAATTTCTAATAAATAGTTAAAACCTTGATAGTTAATTAGATTCATATTTGATATATATAATTTAAAAATGGGTTAATTATGAGGTGACGACATAATTTTATTTCAATTTGAGATATGGTTTATTATTCATGTCATGAGTTAGACTGAGTTTTCCAATTATCAGTGTTGTCTTTAGTATTGAGATGAAAATATTATTTTAAGAACTCTTCTCCATCAAATATCCATTCAACAATTTATTTTAATATAATAATAATTATAATAAAAGTTAAAAAACATATCTTTTATTTTATATTATTAAATAAAGTTATAGAATAATTGTATGAAAAAAAAATTATATACATTATTATGGATCTATTTAGATTTCCGAATGGATGTAGTTATATATTGATTGGGCTTGAGCCCAATTCGTGACAAGTACACGTGTTAATAGAAATTGATAAAGTTCCTGCATCTCACTAATTTATCTTGCTACGTTGGTAGGGATGAAAATTAAACCTCCCCATATAGATTGATTGATCTCGTCAAATAAAGAAAATTCGAATTGATGGGTGAGAGTGAGTTTAGGATTTTTTCCTTTAAGAGTCAGAAATGGACGTGTAATTTTCATCTCAATTTTATATTTATATTTAAATTTTAAAAATATTTTTTTCTATTTTTATTTTATAAGATCATTTTTTTATATTTTATTATTTTTAATTTTCTTCTAACCACTCTTTTTATATCAATTAATTTATTACATTATTTTCTTATTACCTTTTTGTTTTTCATATTTTCTTAATCTCTCCCATCAATTTATTTTTATTAATCTTTTCAACCAATTTGATGAACACAAAATTAATTTTTTCTTCTTTATCTATTTTCAAAATATTTTACATAAATCTTAATAATAACTAATATTATTTTATTTATAATTTATATTTATTAGATTTTATTATGTCATAATTTTTTATCTTATTATTCTTATTTATCATATATCAAATTTTATCTTAATAAAATAATTATATTTTAAAATATTAAAAATAATTGATAATTTAAATTTTTATTACTTCAAACTAATTAAATAAAAATTAACTTATTAAATATTTTCTTATAAACTATATATTTCATATTTTTAAATGACAATTTACAAATGAATTAACTTATATATGTAATCAAATGTTTAAATACAATATTATAATAATAATAATAATGTAGTATGTATTCAAATATTTGAATATAATGTTATAATAATAATAATGTTATAAATATTATATATATATATATACATATAAATAAAAAATGATTAAATATTTCTTTTACATACATATTTTAATATAAATATAATAAATTAATAAATAAATATTTAATTAATAATAATAATTATAAATTATAAATATTTATTTATATATAAAAAATACATAGTAAAATTAATTTATTATAAATGTAATTATATTTTTAAAAAATAATATAAATCGGGAATGAAACGGGAATGAAAACCCGAAATCCAACAAAGATAAGGAATAAAAACTTAATTTCTAACCCCTATAAAAATTAGAAACAAAAATAAGAATAATTAAAAAAATGGAAAACAAGAATTGGAGAGGCAAAACCTGCACCGTCCGATCCTCAGTTGCCATCCCTCCACTCCATAACATCGTCAAATGTCAAAACAAATCTTTGAAGTCTGTTTTCTTGTCACACCTCTAATTTCTGGAAATATTCTATAATCAGTTTTCTGGAGAAAATATAATTCGAGAATAAGTTCAGAAAATGCACAATTTAAAACTTATTTTCATATTATACTTTTCGAAAATATATTTTGAAAATTTCCCAAAATATTTTTAGAAACATTCTAAAGTTAGTTTTTCAAAAATATTCGCAGAAAACTTTTTGGGAGGTCAATTAACAAATTTTCAGAACGAGTTTTCTGAAATCTATTTACATCATGGTAAGATGGTCATTTTAGATAAATATGGAACGTAGGAAGAAATATGGGGTGATGAAGAAACAGCCTAAAGTTTGAACTATTTGAGCCAAGCCCATTGGGTTAGGCTGTGTGGAATAATCTAACAAAAAGGAAATGAAACTTCATTGGATAACAATATTTTATAAATGCATATTGGAGTAAACAAATGATATTTGTCATGTGAATTAAATTGATTCTTTTTATTTGTGTATTCATGAATCGGTCTATGTCATGAATTATCACATTGTGATAATGGAATAAGAATATACGTTAGTGCGAGTGAATTACATTGTGAATACAATATCTTTTATAACTCTCTTTTTACTACCTAAAATATAATCTTATTTTATGTCATGAATTTTCACATATATGAGGTATCATATTATGATCTTCTCTGTTAATTACTCATCAAATAGTCAAAGATATAAGAATATCATAATTATTACAATATCATAAGAATATTCGAGTTATAATATATTAACTATCAATTATCTTATAAGAAAAATTGTTTTATCGGACATGACTACCTTCCATGTCTAAATGACAGACTGATTTGGAATCATTATCAATGTCTTTGATGAGTCTTATAATGTAGCCAAATATATATAGAGTTTATAATAAACAATATAAATAATAAATAAAATATCAATACATTATACTACTCATTAAAATATATAAATGTCTTACTCTTAAAGAATATATAATTGTATAAATACAATTGACTGCAGGTTTAATTTTGGTATTTATCTTATTTTTTGTAACTTATTTAATTTTTATTTGAAGTCTTGATAACAAATAAAATGCAAAACGTAAATATGGTTGACTAATTTACAAAGAAAATATAAACTTATAAATAAATCGTATATTCTTTATCACCTTGAAAATTACAAATAACAACACTTTTATTTGACCACAGAGGGTCTATATGAATTTCACTGGTCAAACAAGTGGGTTGATCAATTAATAATCCAATAATAAAAAACAATTTAATTTTAATATATTTAGTCTTAATGTGAATCAACCTATCTAGAGGGAAATGATTCTGGAGTTCATTATTTAAATCCCAGTCTTGGCCAATTAGTCATTAACATTCAAAACACCCTTCAACCATGGCTACCATAACTTGTTTTTCTCTCTGCTTTTCTTACATCACCATCCTTAACCTCGTGTATACGTGGGCTCAATCTGATAACTATATCATCCACATGGACTCATCAGCCATGCCCAAAGCATTTTCCACCCAACACGCTTGGTATTTGTCCACTCTTTCCTCTGCATTAGATAGTGCTCAAGTTACCGCCAATGATAATAATCTTAACACTGCTTCTTCTAAACTCATATACACCTACACCAACGCCATGAATGGTTTTAGTGCAAATTTGTCACCAAAGGAATTTGAAGCTCTCAAAACCTCCCCGGGTTATATTTCTTCCATACCGGATCTGCCAGCCAAGCTTGACACAACACACTCACCACAGTTCCTTGGCCTCAATCCCACCACAGGGGCTTGGCCTGCTGCGAAATTTGGTGAAGATGTCATTGTGGGTTTGGTGGACACAGGAGTTTGGCCTGAGAGTGAAAGCTTCAACGATGAAGGGATGCCTAATAAACCTCCTTCACGATGGCATGGCAATTGTGAAAGTAGTATCAAATGCAACAAGAAGCTCATTGGAGCTCGGTTCTTTAACAAAGGGTTGCTTGCTAATGGTGTGGAAGCCAAATTGGGCTCAATTGTGAACTCAACTAGGGACACAGATGGTCATGGGACTCACACATCTTCCACTGCAGTTGGGAGACAAGTTGACAATGCATCATTCTTTGGATATGCCAATGGATCAGCGAATGGAGTAGCATCAAGGGCCAGGTTAGCCATGTACAAGGTCGTATGGGATGATATGATTTCCACATCTGATGTAATAGCTGCAATTGATACTGCAATATCAGATGGGGTTGATATTCTTTCCTTATCACTTGGCTTTGATCATGTACCCTTGTTCGATGACCCTGTTGCTATAGCAACATTTGCAGCCATGGATAGAGGTATCTTTGTGTCCACATCAGCCGGGAATAATGGGCCTGGTGGTGGAAGTCTACACAATGGAATACCATGGGTCATAAACGTGGCTGCTGGCAGTTTGGATCGAGAATTTCACGGGGCTCTTACTCTTGGCAATGGTGTCAACATATCTGGCTTGTCACTCTATCTAGGAAACTTCTCAGCACACCAATTTCCTATTGTTTTTATTCGTTCGTGTGACAATTTAACGGAACTGGCCAATGCACGTAGCAAGATTGTGGTGTGTGAGGATTTGGGTGGAAGCCTCTTCGATCTAGTGTCTACTATAGAAACTGCAAATGTTTCGGCAACAGTGTTCATTTCAAGTGCCACCGATATTTCATTTTTTTATTCGCAAAATGTTGCAGCCATCATCATAAACCCGAGAAATGGAGAAATTCTCAAAGCCTACATCAAGAGTAACTCTGATGCAAAAGCAGATATGTCTTTTAAGATAACAGCTTTAGGTATTAAACCAGCACCAAGTGTGGATTTTTACAGTTCTAGAGGACCATCAAGTAGCTGTCCATTTGTGTTGAAACCGGACATCACTGCTCCTGGTACATCAATCTTAGCTGCATGGCCTCAAAATCTTCCAGTGTCATTGTCTGGATCACAAACCCTTCACAATAACTTCAATTTTTTGACTGGAACATCCATGGCATGCCCTCATGTGGCAGGTGTGGCAGCATTGTTAAGAGGAGCACATCCTGATTGGAGCCCTGCGGCTATTAGGTCAGCCATTATGACAACATCGGATATATTCGACAATACTAAGGAACTCATCAAAGACATTGGTCATGGAAACAAACCAGCTTCTCCTCTAGCCATGGGCGCCGGTCATATCAACCCCAACAAAGCCCTAGACCCTGGACTTGTTTACGATGTGGGAGTTCAAGATTATGTCAATCTTCTCTGCGCAATGAACTTCACTCAACAGAACATCACAACCATCACTAGATCCTCTTCCAACAATTGTTCCAAGCCTTCTTTGGATCTTAACTACCCTTCTTTCATGGCTTTCTTCAGTGACAATGGTTCTTCAAACGAGTCAATGGTAAATTGGGAATTTCTGAGAACAATGACCAATGTTGGGGAGGGACAAACAATCTATTCTGCTAGCGTTACACCAATCAAAGGGTTTAATGTCAGAGTCATCCCAAGCAAGTTGGTGTTCAAAGAGAAGAACGAGAAGCAAAGTTACACGTTAAGAATTCAAGGTCCAAAAATGGAGGGTTATGGGTACATCACTTGGACTGACGTGAAACATGTGGTGAGGAGTCCTATTGTTGTCACCAGTCTACCATCCTTGCAATCAATTTCCGTGTAGATTAATTTTGCAATCGCGAAATGCTTTCATACATGTTTAAAGTGAAGAATATATAAACAAAGGAAACGTTTATTTGTCTAAAAATATTAAAAACAATGTACTAAAACAATGCCTCCATTTTATACAAAGATCATTTTCATTACCATTATCCTTTTTTTCACACCGTTTAAGTTATCTCGACTTTTTTTATTATACATAAACAGATTTAAAAAAAAAAAAACTTAAATTTAGGAGATGAAAAAAAATTTACATGAAAGCACGATTCAATCACGTAATCAACATTAAAATCTTGCTACATACTATAATTTTAATTACAACTATTTCCTTTTTTTAAATCATACTAACTAATACGATCAATCCTATTACCTAACACGAGTTTAGTCTAATTTTTTTTAAATAAGATTATTTAATTTTTTTAAAGTATATTATTTATAAAATATTTTTTTTAATTATTAATTTAAAAAATAAAATTTTTCTTTAAACTTAAGATTAGTTTCCCTTAGGAAGACTCCTAATATAAGAGAATAAGAGAAAAAACTCCTAAAAACACTTAAAAGATAAACAAATTTGAGATACAAACTAAGTAAGTTTCATAAGTAATGTTTGATTTTATTCAAATACGTTATAAAATTATACAAAGGATTATATATATATATATATATATATATATATATATATATATATATATAATAGTTTTTCTTTTCAACACTCAATATTTTAAGAAATGTGAGATTAATTTGATTTTTAATTATTTTCTTTTATATATATATATATATATATATATTATATATATATATATATAATAGTTTTCCTTTTCAACATTCAATATTTTAATAAATGTGAGACTAATTTAATTTTTAATTATATTTCTTATATATATATATATATATATATATATATATATATATATATATGGGTTATAATTATGATTAGAAACTTGAACCTTTAATTGAAGATAGGTTAGCTTGATTAAGATAAGGTGCTAGTCCCCTTTTAACTTAACCAAATATTGATCATTTCTCTTTTTTTAATGTTCCATTTCCTCCAAATCCTACGTTAACTTAACTAAGTATTGATCATTTTTCATTTGTTTAATGTTTCGCTTCCTCCAATTTGTTTGGAAGATATGTTTCCTAAAAAGCTTTGAAAGAGATTTTTTTTCAAGTGTTTATATAAGAAAGAATTTCCATTGTAGGCAAGGAGTGAGCATATCACTTTAATAAAAAAATTAAAAATAAAATAAAAATCGTGATACGTAACACAATTTAAAAAAATAAAAATAAAAACTAAAACAACGTACAACTGTATAGCATAATTTTAGGTTTAACCACCGAAATCTTGTTTAGATATCTAATCTCAGGTAAAGAAATTTTAGTAATTTATTTCAAATTTGACCAATTTACATAAAATTGATTTTTTTAACCTGTTATGTAGAAAAGCCATTTATCTCATTGACTTTTACTTTATCGTCGAAAAGATAAAATGGGTTAAATTTATTAGATTCGTATGTTTTAATCTATTTTATCTAGTTTGCTAATCTAACGAATTTGGAATGGATTATCTTGTTAACTCATATTTTAAAAATATTTATATATTAAAAAAATTATAATTAAAAAAGTTATATTTTTATGTTATGTTATTGAAATATATAAATATATTATAATTTTAATTATAAATATATACCAATTAAATTTAAATTATTAATTATAATTAATTATTTTAAGAAATAAATATATTAATTTTTTGTAATTGATCTAATAAAAATATTAATTGATGAATAAAATTTAAAAAATATATAAAAAAGATTGATGAATAGGTATGTTAACTCTTTGAGATAGCAGTTTAAAATCTGTAACTTGAAGAACCTGCACTATCCTACTTTTCACGGAAAAAAAAAGGGGTCATCCCTACTTACGATATCTTATTTCAGAATTTTATGAATTGTTTGAAGGAACATTGCCGCAAACTTAAAAATTCATAAAAAAAAATTCTCACAGAATTTTCTACAATAATTTCAACAACTTTGTAAACAAAGAAGTTTTCGTATGAAAGTGGTGTGTCTACAAAATGTTTATGATTTTCATGAAAAAGAATAGCAAATAAATCTTTACTCAAAAGTAGGCGAGAAATTCTATAGTTAATTTTCTTGCAATTCAGTGAATTTTAAGTTTCCAATAATTTTGTTATAGATTTTAAATTTACAAAAAAAAATTTCCTTCAATATTTAAATTTATATTTAACATTTCAGAAATTTAACATCCAAATAAATGTAATTCAATAATATTGATTTTTCTTGTAAGTTAAAAATATTAATATATGTCATGTAGTCCAAACTTTGGAATCTTTATTATTTACAAACTTTTAGAAGAATGATACCAATAATATTATGGTCGTATATAAATTTTTCATTAATATATTTTTTTTTCATTTTAAGTCAGATTAAGGTAAGACAAAACCTCGAAAATTGATTAATTATTACTATTAAAAATTCTCATTTTTTATGGGAATATTTTTGTAAAGTTTTGGTAAAAAGGATAAGAAATAAGTTTTCTATAAATTTAAACAATTTTTTTGAAAAAAATTGATAAAAAAAAACTATTTTTCTAGTAGTGTATGCTCATAAAAAAAAAAAAAAAAAGCATATGATAAAATGTTGGCAGTGATGAGTTTGATAAGAAATGTTGGATCGTTCCTGGGCGCAGCCCAAGGGTGGGTTAGAATGAGTCCAGTCCAGGCTTGTATTAGGGTGGGAATATCACAGAGGGCTAGTACCTTTTTTTTTTTTTTTTAATAAAAGTTATATAAAGCTATTACTTTTAAAAAAAATTAAACTGATTCTTAAATCGGTTAAGGCACGTATTTAAACTAATAATTAATTTATATAAAATAATATTAGAAAATATAATATGATTAAATAATGCTAAAAACTAAAAATATCATATATTTATAAGTTTTTAATTGTCAAAATACACATAAAATAATTTATTTAATAGTATTTTTATTTAATGCTTTACTATGAAAATGATATTTTTTTAAATAAAATGAAAAAACTTTCTTTTTTAAGTTTTGAGGAAAAAATTAAAATAACATCTAAATAATATTTAAAAAAAATTCATTAATCACCGTGAGGATGTGTTTTGGTTTTTGACGAATTAAATATGAGTAAGAAAGAGATGGGATCATGGGAGGAGGAATGTGTTAGCAAGTAATTGGAGAAAAAGAGTGAAAAAGAGGAGTGGTTAACAAAAAGGAAGTGTAAATAGTAGTAGCCCAAAATAAATATGATTTGAATAGGTAAAATTGGGTTGAACACAAATAATGGACTCCTCTCTTATTTATTGGTAAACAAAGAAAAAGGTAGCAGAAGAATAATTAGAGGGCACTTTCTTCTTGCACCTCCCTACCTCCATAATTTCTTCCTTTATCTTATAATTAAATTAAACCTTATTTTACCTTTATATTTATCTTTCATATCTGTAATTTCAGATTTCACATTCCAAAAATATGTTCCGGACCCACCAATCCAGAATATATTTCTAAAAATTCAAATCTAGAGATATATTATAGAATCCACTCTTTTGAAATATGTTTCTTAATTTTTTTTATAATATATTTTTAAATTAAATTTTTCAAAAACACATTTTAGAATAGATGTTCCAAAATGTATTTTTAGAAAACGTTTAATTCAGAAATGCATTTTAGATTGAATATTCTGAAATACGTTTTCAAAAATCCAATCTAAAATTACATTTCGGATTGAGTATTGTGAAACTCAATTTAAATTTTGTAAAACTGTTCAGGATCAAGTAATTTAGGTCTCAACGTGAAATTTTAGTGCAAGAATATGTAATAAATACATAATATTAACAATGACTCACTTTAAGTATTGGAAATAATCTTTCAATGAAGATGATAAAATAAGAAAACCAAATCTGCATGTCTATAAAGGGTAGAAGATGAGTAATGGAAGTAGAGAACTTTGTAGAAAAATAGAAAAATAGAAGAAGGGGTTAAGGTATGAAACAAAACTGATTGAAAGAGTATTAGAGGAAGAAAGTAACTAATTAAAGACCATTTACGGGTTTAGACAGTGGATTACTGTCACTTCAAACCAGCCTTATAATTTTAAGCATAGAGTAAAAAAGATTGATAAAAATTTGTAAAATCTGTAATATAAAACAATATAATATTAATAATTGTAATAATAAATAACTGAAGGACTATTGTATGAGCTTATAATAATATTTATTTTTGAATGCTATTTTAATTTTTCTAAACCAATAAAGACACAGTTAGAAATAAACACCGCGAAGACCTTCACTATTAGAATTAAACCTGACAAATAAATTTGACGTTCAAGGAAAAATCTTAAAATATTCTATTTGTGATTCATTACCACTTAACTTATTCATTTCTATCAAATATATAAACTTCACACTTATGCTTTGTAATGTTTATAGTATTTTAGGTTATAAATTGTATTTTCTCATTTTTTTTATCACACGAGAATCAATGAAAAGAATACAAATGTTTAGTTTATTCTCTTTGTTAACTTTAATGGTAGTCATGTAGGTATTTTACAAGTAGATTTTTTTAGCTCTTTAATAATGATACAAATCTTTGACAAGATTATGGGGTAACATACTATAATTTTATTATAGTGAGATTTCAATCTATCTCTCGTACCAAATATATGGGTAATTTTCAATTTCAAAAAATATCCTTGACTTTATTTATTTGCTGGGAAAGAAAAATAATACGATGCTGATTAGCGTGAAACTGAAAGGTCCATCAATTTTCATCTGATTGAGAGCTTTAGGGTTGTGGCTCATGAATAGGTGTAGAAATGGCCCAGCTGGGTTCTCTCTTATTTAATTGTCTGAGAAAATGACAGAAATTTAATGAATATGCATGTGACTAAAATCTCTCATGTTAGAAGAAAAACATGCAACAGACACCTGAAGAAAATTCTTATATTTTTTTCTTGAAAAAGTTGAGGG